TTGTCGTGCTTTTTATAATGCGTCTCCTTGAAGAGGCACTGTTACAAGTAGCAACGTTTGATTCGTCGTAAGTTTTTCGTGGAGTTGAAATCATCCCTTATCAACTTAGAGATACGCATGACGACCAAGGTCAGAAAAGACTCGGTTTTGTTTTCAGATAGCAAGAATAGGTAAAGAAGACTGGCCAATGGCCCTAACCCATGTTTCTTTCGTAATCAGCGCACCCGGCTATGACATCCGCCCTCAAAGTTTATGTGTCCAAAGTTTCGTCCGAATCGGTTTAGAAATAAAAAATTTTGTGTGCACATACTTGAAGAGAGACAGCCAGGCATACATGTACAGATATTAACCTTCTACAAGAGTTGGGTCAGACTACGGAGCGTACGTCGCGTAACTCTTATAATGAAACCTACCGAGCGTACGCTGCGTAGTCGCTTTGCAACTAGTCTGGCCTAACCCTAAGATTGCAAGCACAATCTCATATTTGGAACTCAATTTGCAAACAAATTATGTAATGTTTCAACTACAGGGTGAGGCAAAAGTCTGGTAGCCTATTTTGTAGTGCTGTAAATCAAGAAACTACTGATGATTTTGACTCCAAATTTGTGTCAAATGTTGCTGCGATCATCTTCTACAAATCCCACTTTTGCTGCTGAAAAGGCTTACCTATGTTTTCGTAGGAGCTGGATTTATCAAACAAGTGCTCTGCAATGCTAGAAAATCGAAATTTTTGGTCTTCACATCTTACTTTGTAGCTAAAGATACAGTGCATATTCTAAAGAGCTTCGATGCATGCAATGTAGAGGAGACCTTGCGCTATCGATTCGTTGTCATTGCGTTTGTCAGGTAGTATTCTTTCGAAAACGTAAAATAAAAATTTGCGAATACTACCTGCGTGCCAGTGGCCATTTTTCTTTAAAATAAATTTGAAAACTATAGGAGCACAGCAAGCACTGAATTTTAGGCTATACTCTTTCCTTGGATCTTCTATGCAAGCATGTACTTGAGTTCGATCGATCAAGCAATTTCAACACTTTTCAGATTACGATTTTTCGCTCCCGTTCGCGCAATCGCATCCAGATTTCCAGTATACATTGTACACTTGCCTTCAATTAAAATTCCAAAATTTTTTCCTGACACTGCAAAAATTTCTTCGCAACACATTGTAGCTAAAAGCTTGCTCTATCACACCGCACATTTGCACGAAGAAAGAAACAGTTATCATAAAGGCGTGGGACGAATTTCATCATGACTGTCTGGGTGCCAGGACAGGCAGACTCGCCAAGTTTTCGAAGGGCTGCTTTGAAGCCAGATGAGGCAATCTCAAAATTTAAAAGCAGCGCTGTATTTGTAAAGGTTCGATTTATGTGTGCACCAAATTTTTTGTTCCTAGGCACTTTCTTTCTGATTTTATCTGAAAAAGTACTAGGCTCCCAGACTTTTGCCCTACCCTGTATATTCGTTTTTGCAATCCTTTTCGGTTTGTTTTTTTTTTCAAATTTATAGTGACGCTCCCTTTGTTATTTGGTCAGTTATACGTTCCAGTCTTCCATTTGATGCGATCAGCGTCGTCATACAGAAAAATATCAGCAGGCTACTGGGACATGCTATAATGCTCCATAGCGCCTGCTCATCCTTCTGAGGCTCCGTCCAGAGTGTTGGAGCAGTGTCGGTGCTGAGACTTGGGAACGCGAGCCTAAGTAGCTCAAGTCGGGTAGCGACAGTAGACGCATTCATTCTCGCTATTTCCGATTGTGCCCTAGGATACAATGACAACACTCAGCTTGTTCAGCAACATGGTCCTGAGATACTGAACCTATGAAACTGCAAGTTGAAACTGGTTCTTATTGCTAGCCAAAAACTTAAAATGATTGCAAGAAGTTAATAGTAAACAAAAAAGTATATTCTGCCGTTATCAGAAAGTAACTTTACAGTTGAAATAAAGATTTTTTTTATAACTTAATTCAAGTGCTGGATTTTGGATAACATACTAAAAAATTTTCATACTTTAGATTCATGGTCATGATATTCGTAACGGAGAATAAAGATTTTTTGGGAGTGCTTGAGCAATAGCGATTTTCTTTTTTGTCCTACCAACTGACTTTCCTTAGCAATTTTTTGCTGCTGAAAGGTAGGGTGGAAATTTGTCAAATTTTTGGATGCATTCCATACAAAAATGTTTCAGTAACTATACAAATTATGGACAAAATCCCGCTGGCATGAATGGTGCGTTGACTCATTTGTTCCATTTATGAGCTTAAAAAATTCTTATCTTTAATGATGACTAAGGCACAATATTTGTGTATCAGTACCCCTTTTTGGCAGTCTTCTTTCTATCATAAATTACCGACTAATCTGTTCTCCAAATCAACGATGGTCTCGGCTTTATCTTGAACAAATATTCTCAATAACTGCTCAGAAATTCGACAATTGTAAGGAAAAGATTTCGCGTACGTGGCTACCGCTACGCATCTTGATTTAAAAAAGGGTTTCGTTACCCCCCCCCCCCCCCTCCCTTCTTCGGATAAAAATCCTGGGACCCCACCTGCTGTCTTGCTATGGGAAATGGCGGTGGCTAAGAACTTCCTCAACAACCAGAACTTATCAAAGAGTAAACTGCGAGTTAGCTAATTGCCCAGCTCTCCATCAAAAATTTTTGCAGCCTGCACATCGAAATTATTGGAAGATCTCGTTAAACCGCAGGAAGTGCTTTATGTGGGCATCTACCTCCCCCCTCCCCCTTTCCCCAGCCTTCCAATTCAGGAAAGACAATATAGAATCGACACTACTATTGCTAACTCCACGAAGTTTCGATTGGTCGATAGATATTTATGGTTTGCGACGGGCTGTTATGGCGTTCGGTGCTCGCTTGCCGTTTGTCGTTCCAATTTTGAACTGACCCATAAAATTTTGAATCAGAAAAGTTGAATCATGTAAGTAGCCTACGCTCGGCACCAAAGCTGGTTTCTTTTTAAATGAACAATGGAAACAAATTACAAGAATTGTAAAAGAAAAAGACAATGAGTGATAAAAGATCACTTGTCAATGCAAAAAGATAAGACTACGCTCATGACAAATCCGGATGCATAGCCTACAGAGTCAGGTTATTCCGTCCGTCATTACTGGATCCTCTAATATCTCTTCGCTTGTATTCTACACACGTGTCACTCTATTCATTGCCCAAATGAACTGCTTTGATTTTGATATCAGCAAAACTAAACAATAATTGATACATGCATATGCAAGGAAAGAAATGCATGCTCCTTAATACTTAGTAAGTTTAGATTCAATTGTACCTATTTAAAGATGAGTCTAAAACTCCATTTGCAGAGTAGAAAGTTTGAGGTCAACATCTTCCTAAGCACAAAACATTAATCGTTTCTTCACAATTTTCCCAAAAAGTTTATTTTTTATTGCTTAATAAAAACACGTGTAACGGAACACGATGCAAAAGCTTGTTTAGCTTTTGATGTTAATCGATTCTGTTTTACTCCAAATTTATTTCAGTTTGACTTTGACGAATCATTGATTTCTGTGAATGAAAATTGCATTAGGTTCCAAGTATGATTAATTCGAAGGGTTTTGACTAAGACCTAGTCCTAGTAACTTGAAGTGCCATTTTTCTCAGCTTCGCATGACCATGTTCAAATAAGACTCCGTGGTGAGGCTAGGATTGCTGTTGTGTTCTAGGGAACAATTGGAGACAACGAGGAATTGTATCTAAAGCACTTCCTCACTTTATTTAATTAGGCTCGGATTTTCAAGCTCCATTCCCCATTATTTGAAGGGGGGGGGTATAGAACATCTGACAGAAGAGTTTTTGCACTACATTTAAACGGTAGAAAACAACGACGCTGTATTTTGTAGAAACGCGTAAGAAGTTGAAACAAAATCTTCTTTGGTTTTTCCTTGAACAGAGATACAAGCGTTTTTACGGCGAAAGAATAATATTTTTTGGAATCGCGGGAGGTATGCCTTATGCCTTGCCTTATGTATTCATGTAGGAATCCAGATAATGTGCTGCCTTGCTATGAACCTGCAAGAGAATTTTGCTACTCTAGTTATGAAAACGCGATGTTAAGAAAGTTGCATAGCGGTTTTCAAAAGAAAAAACGAGACGTTCCATATTCTGAGGCCTAAGGCATACCTTACGCGATTCGACCAAGTCGCGACGTCCACGCGACTTGGCGCTATGCCAAATTTTTGAAAATTTGTCGTAGGCGCATTTCAAATGCATAGGGCTTAGCTTTTTGTAAGTTCCTGCAAACGAATCAGGGATGCCTGCTGTAAAATACCAAAGAAGTCATGGGACCCAAAGGCAGTAACCTTGGAAAACAAAAAAATGAGAAATTATTAGAACGTTGTGGAAAATTAAGAAACTATCAGAACGTTACCGAATCATGTTTCGATACATTTACTTACATTTTCTCCGCAAGCCGCCGCCACTTCCGAAGTTTCGTCGAAAAAGAACAACCTAAAATTTCTCTACGGTTGCATGCCATTTCAGCTTTTCGATTTTTAGCTACGAAAACAGCAAGAAGCGTCTGGTTATACCACAGCAACATGATAAATTTTTCTTTAAAAAATGAATTTTTTCTTTCTGTAATGTCAGTGTATTCGCTTCAGTCCTTGTTATCCTTGAGTCCATCGCATGCACCAAACTTAAAATATCTGAGAGGGGCTCGGCACGAGGTGGCTAGATGAAAGTGCAAAACAACGAAGTCCCCCTTGACTTTTGGATAATTTTTACGAAGTCCCCTTTGACCCTCAACCATATTTCCTCCAAAAACCTAAAAAAAATCTCCAGAAAAACAAGACGTTCACAAAAAAAAACCAATTTTGCGTGTGTCTTCGGCCACGTAAACGAAACCCCCTTTGCTTTTTGTCCCAAAAACGATATTCAGCTTGCATAAGCCACCTGTGCCGAGCCCTGATCTGAGATTTTATGTCTAGTAATCCAATATGTAATTAATGTCAAATTCTTTTTGTTGCTTAATTACAGAGCACTCTGCAGTATAAGCGAGTATTCAATGCAGCTCCTGCTGTTTGCGTTGCTTCCATTAGCTGGAGGTTTTCCGTATGCCAAGAAAAATGAACCGATCTTCAGGTTTGTGGTTCACCTCAATAACACTTTTTAAGAAAGCTGATTTGCAGGAACTTAAACCAGTATCCTGGTTTCTTTTATATGAATCGGTCCAACGCAGGTTAGCAACAGCTTTTTTGCACATTTTGTGACGAACTATTCAGGCAGTACAAATGAAAATCTGAGAGATTGACTGTTAGGGGGAGAATGCTGACGATATTATACGCTTTTCTCTCGAAAGTCCGTTAAAATTCAAACTTTCTGTCGCGTATTCTAGCTGGAAATGGAACTTATGGTTAGGAACATAAAAGACTTCCGCAACCCGTAGGAGTTAAAGTTGTCAAAGCGTATGGCACCCAGTCAGCACCGTATGCATAGCTGATCTGTACACACAGTAATGCCCTTATAACAGCAACGCCTGAGACTGGGATTAGCTGCAACTTCAAAGTTTGAGTTCGGTAGCGGTTTTTGTCCACTTGGGGCAAAAGTTTGGGTTTGATTGTTTTTCGGCGCTGTTCCCATTGTGATACTGCTTTTCTCTTGCTTACAAGGGAATGGTCAAAAATCGAAGTGGCCATTCCAGACAAGCTGGGTACCGTTAGATGCAGCATGAAGCTCTCACCCTAAACCTGTCTTCCTTACCTGCTTATCGCTTCTCTAGACGAATCTAAAAGCCATTGGAGACCATTATTTTGCTAAGAAATCATGCGTGAAATTGAAAATTTAGCCGTACAAAGCCACGTTCGCCTCAATGCTGGGCCAAAACATGCAGCTAGCTTACTTAAAATTTTTGAAGCCAGAAGCTGAGCTCAAGATGCAAAAATGTGTTTAATTTCGCCGTTTTTATGTATGATTTTTTTACAATAAAACCGCTTGTAGCTTCGTTCACAGAAGCGGGAAGCAGATAAGGAAGACAGATTTGAAGTCAGTGTTTTATACTGCATCAAATGATATATAGCCTCTTTAATTTGGCCACTTCGACTTCTGACCATTCCCTTGTTTAGTATTCCCAAGTCTGCTTATCTCAATTACAAATATGGCTTATAAATTACCTTGCAAATTAGGTATTTTTCGAAATAGTTATGTCACACTTTTTTCCTGTGCGGAAATAATTGAATGGTGAATTTAAAGAGAGCAGGCCATCACTGTCATTATTGTCGAACGAATATCCTTTTCAAAAATTCTCAGGCGATCCATAATTCAGTGCCAGCTCCATCGAAAGTCGCCTTTTAGTATCCAACCATTTGACATAGCTTCCTATAAAACTCAGAGCCTTTCAACCTCAAAACATGGTACACGAGAGAAAAAATGTTTTTAGGTGTTGAAAATCTAATTTTTTACTTTGAGTCTCTAGTAGCTACGATTTTGATTTCAAATTATCAATTTGGCAAGTAATATGAAATTATCTATTGGGTCATTCCAAGAGTAATTTTGCTTTTTTTTCAAAAAGGCGATACATTTGATACAATAACGATTTCTAAGAGTCTTGATGGCATTCGAACTAGCATTTCATCCTCTTTCTAAAATTTATAAAATGGTTGCAGCATATCCGATGAGCTCTCGAAAAATCACCAGAATTGGTCACCCATACTTTTTGAGATGGTCAAGTTTCACATTTTTTCAAACTTGTATATCAGCCCTCCGAAGGAGTCCGAGTAACGATGCGATAGAGCAAGCCTTATTGAATACAGCACAGCTTTTCCCCTTTTTTATAACTCCATGATTTTTCAAAAGAATTTTTTAATCAAAACCATCAAATTTTGTCAGGCTTATGCCAGCCACAATCGCATCAAACATTAATAATTATTCGGAATTTGAGTATTTCAAGATGGTAGTATGATTTAGCACTAAGCAAAGCAAATAGGAGTTCAAAGATTTAAACTATAAGACTTCGAGTTTTCGGGTACAGCGTTCAAAAACATAAGTTATGATGATTTTGTCATCGACGACTAAACGAATCGGAAACAAAAATATCTATTAAAAAAGGAGAAAAAGCTGCATGAATAGTACCCGAGCTGCTTTCCTTTTAATGTTCTATTAGATTGATTTAGATGAACAAGTAAGATGGTAGCATCAGTTAAAATTTTATTAGAAAAGTAGGACAGCAGTGGAAAGGAGAAAAAAATTGTGAAAAAAATTGTTTTTTTATCCAGTAGGGGTTGCTTGCCCTAGCTGTGCCCTAGCTTTTGCCCAAGCGTGCGATAATTTATGCTACATTTCACTCCGCATTATGGGCATTTTGTGAGGCTAAGATTTGATTTTTTTTTCAAATGAAGTTCAAACAAAATGTTGTTTGTTTTCAGCATATTAAATTGCACTTGTGCCATTTCGCCGCCAAGCCCTCTTCTTAACATCGGTGGATGTCCCTTAGATCAGAAATAGCGATCGATTCATCTTCTTTAAAGCGTCAGACAGTTGTCAGACTTCCTTTTCTTATTCATGAGCTAGTGAGAAAAGTTAACTTTAAGCAACGTTTCACTTACATGAAGGCACATAATAGAAGTTTCACTTACAATTTCCTCTCTGCTTTTTAGCACGGCTTCATTTTTGCTCAAAACCTGTGACACCAAACTGCCCGTTTTTCGTAATACATCGATTTTTCCATATTTCGTAGAGCTGTGCAAGTCAGATTCAACAAAACGTGATCCTTCAAAATTTTATTACGTCATAAGTAAAAAAGGAATGATGAAAAGCTGTCATATCTGCATGGTACCTGACAGTTGCAGGTGCCTATCCTAAGAAAATAACAAGTGAGTTCTTCTGTAACGCTGACGAAGAAGAAAAAAAATTATGAATCTTTAGGCTTCATTGCGTCAAAAAACCTTAATGATGAAGTAAAAAATGTGTGGTCATTTTAAAAACCACTATCCAACGGTTTACCCATGAGCGGCAATGGCGGAGCGAAAATCGTGAAAGAACGTCTTATATGAAGCGAAGCGGTCGAGGAAGCTGAACTGCCCGTACTTCGCTCATCTTCCGGGACTCTTCTCCTAACACCTCAGCATAGTGAATACACAACTTTGGCATATGACCTTGTGATTACCAGAAAAGCACAGCCTATTTTTGAAGCTATTTATTTTTTCGTGGACTCAGTGAAAGCGTCATTAGGTGCTGAAGATGTTAGGCAGTGCTAAGTTTTGGTAAGTATTAGGTTGTTACATAAGTCTTGTTACACTTAACTTCTAACGGCGATAAGTCATAAACCTCATAGTCTTCGCAGGACTCCAAGGTACCATTCGATAGAGCCAAGCAAGCTCTACAAGATGGTCTGCAAAAGTTCGCACCAGCTCCGACCCACCGTAAGTTTGCACCCAAAATCTGAGTCGTACTGAAATTCAAAAAAGCGCGAAAAATTCATATCTTTCTTCAGAAAAATCCTACAAATCTCCAACTTGTTCACAAAAATTGCCCACTATATCAGACACTTATATGTACCGTTGCTGTATTTTTTCCTTATCTAGAAATCAAGAAAAAGAATTTTATTAGTTTTTACAAAAACGAAGCTATGCTGTTTCTATTCATGTAGCTGTATACTACAAACTTTTAGAAGTATGACTGTAAATTTTTAGCTTTCCAGAAGCCCTAGTTTTCGAGAAATGCCAAATTTAGCTTTTGTCACTTGGGTGTTCAATGCCAAATTAAGTAATTTTCGAAAACTAAGGCTTCTAGAGAGCTGAAAATTTACGGTTATATTTCTAAAGGCTTGTAGTATACAGCTACGTAAATAGAAACAGCATAGCTTCGTTTTTGTAAAAACTAAAAAAAAAATTCTTTTTCTCGATTTCTAGATAAGGAAAAAATACAGCAACGGTACATATAAGTGTCTGATATAGTGGGCAATTTTTGTGAACAAGTTGGAGATTTGTAGGATTTTTCTGAAGAAAGATATGAATTTTTCGAGATTTTTTGAATTTCAGTACGACTCAGATTTTGGGCGCAAACTTACGGTGGGTCGGAGCTGGTGCGAACTTTTGCAGACCATCTTGTAGAGCTTGCTTGGCTCTATCGAATGGTACCTTGGAGTCCTGCGAAGACTATGAGGTTTATGACTTATCGCCGTTAGAAGTTAAGTGTAACAAGACTTATGTAACAACCTAATATAAGTGATTAAGTATGAATGATTCTTATGAATCAGCGCATGCAGGTTGATTCACCAAGTATTTCAGAAACTTCAGGTTCTATTTGTTACCAGAAAACATGCTTGGCACTACTAGAAAACTAAGTCTCCCGAACGTTCATGCCGTATTTTTGACGACCACAAAACGCGTAGAGTAGAGAGGCAACCAACTAAAGTTTCATTTAAACCCTGGAAAAGCATTCCTTGAGGATGATCGAGAGGCCAAAGTACAAAACAACACATTTTTTGACGCGTTTAGCCAGGCTCTGTAGAAATTTTCAAGTCATTTCCCTGATGCTACCTTTCATATTCGGTCAACTTATTGTTAGTTATCAATCGAAAAATGACGTACTTGTCGTTTGAGGGAGCTCTCTATTCTTTTTAATAAAAACTTTTTCTTTCTGATATGTAGAGTAAGGATAAAATCAACAATGGACGCTCCTGATTGTAACTTGGAAATTCCCAACCCGTTCAGAATCAAAAACGATTGACTGCTTTGCAAAATTGATGCTGAATTATGACTGCATTCAAACTCCGGACTTGCTTGAGTGTTTGGCGCGCTCTTGCAGAGACGATTTTGAAGACGTAAAGACTTTCGAAAACAATTATTTCTGAACAGCCAATCAATGATACTCAAAAAACTTCCCTCCACATATATTTCACCGAGCTTACTCTATCCATCTGTTGTCGAAGCTGTTCCAGAAATTCAACTTAAAAACTTTAAAAAATCGTCATCTTCAAACATGGAGATAATCATAGGTTAGAAGTTTCGGTGATTGTTTTAGTAAGCAAATGGCGCTCAAAAAACATAACTAAAAAAAGAAAAAATGCGTAGAAAATTGTTTAGAGTGTTCGTCTTTTTTCGAGAACAAGCGAAACTGTGGAATTCTCAGCTTATAGGGCAGTGCATTGTCATTAACTATGCTTGAGCATTAGCTTAGCGGGAAAGCTTAGCAGCTCAGCAGGCCAGAACTTAAGCCATCCATGCCAAACACGTATATCCTCGGACTCGCCTTGAACCGCTGGTCACAAATATATGTTTATTATCTGCCAATCTACTACATGGAATGGGATATGAGCGTTTAAATGTGCGAGTTGTCAAGCGCTCTGTGGCACATATTTTACGAAATAGGTTTCAAAAACACTTTGTAAATCCGCGCCACCAGACTGCCTTTCAAGGGGAATGTATTTGTAGAAACTCGATAATTTTTTTATATTTGAGCGCTCATAACTCCTCCGGATAGTCGCTTGGCACACAAAAAACATATATTAGGTCGGTGCAAAAGTTTTGTCAGTTTTTTCAATCTATCGGCGATCACGCTTGAATGAAGATAAACAAACATTTCAAAATGTGTTCGATGCAAAATTTCTTCCTCTTTCCAGCTGCTCAACTCCCATTGTGTTTCGTTGCGAGAGTGACGAGATATATGCTGATTACAACTGCTCGTTTTTACGATGTCCAACTTTGACTAATTCTTAAAATTTTCGTATGGGACTTTCGAAGGAGCATTAATAACCAGCAGATGAGGCAAACCTTTTGCCAATCTATGCAATTTTTTCTTTTTTCCAATTGCGTTTTCAGATTTTTGCTAAACAATTTTCTAAAAGTCTTGTCTTGTGAAAAATCGCGTAACCTGTTATTGCATCAAACACTGCAAAATCTACATAGTACTGAGGTTTCAACACTCGATTATTACTACCGCTACCATCACAAAGTAAGTGAGCGATTTTCGCTTCAAATTATGAAGTTTTTGAAACATAGGTTACGTCAGTGCGCACTCAAGAATGAGAAATATTGCGATTTCCCACACAAATTTCGCTGTTTCGGCAAAAAAAGACAAGTGTTAGAAGGGGGAGAAAAAGTTGCATCGACTGGTGACTGAAATGTTCAACATTTTGTGTTCTACGAAGTTAAAATAGGCTGAATGTAAAATTTGGCCACTTCAAAAAATAAATCGTAGAAATTCGGAAAGACAAGCCGTAGGGCACAAAAAAAACTTCATGTTGGCAAAAGGTCTGCCCTATTGCTGGTTATTAGTGCTCCTCCGAAAGTCTCATATAAAAATTTTGAAAATTAGCGAAATTTGAACGTGGTAAAAACGAGTGGTCGTAATTTCCAGCAAATATCTCGTCACAGTCTCAACGGAACACAATGTGAGTTTAGCAGCTGAAAAGAGGGAAAAGTTCTGCATCGGATTCATTCTGAAATGTTAGTCTCTCTTCATTCTAACGTGTTTGCCGATGAATTGAAAAAACTGACAAAAAAACTTTTGCACCAACCTAATATTTGAAATCAGCGTTTTAAGACGATAATATACAGCTTGTTTGGAATGGCTGGAAGTTCTGATCATTTACTCGTTAGCAGATTCTCCAAGTGACAGATAAACACGGTAGGATATATATGTTAAGATGTATCAAGACATAAAGCGACACTACACGCCCCTCCCCTTTCTTCAGCTGAGATGCAAATACATAGAACCCAATTGCATTCATATCTACCGTTTGCACTACGAAATGCTTCATGCTGGTGTTGTTTCCTGTCAGCTATCGAAATTGTTTTTAGCACATCGTGATCGATGCGAAAGTGGATGGACTTATTATGATGAGACCGATGCTTGCTATAAGGTTTGTCGCAAGTTTTGCTATACGACGTAAGGTTTGTTGTATTTTTGAAAGCATGTGGTTACAATTCTGCCTACGCTCATTGGGTGGAGGACATTAGGTCGCCGAATTTGGAAGAGTCCCGCGCGGATTCCCTGCAGGAACGCAAGTCCGCGCATGTACAAGGGTGCGTATTTGTCGCAAAGGACCGCGAAGACCACCCTTTTTCGGCGACCTAATGTCCCCCACCCCTTTTTTCTCTTTTGTACCTAAGAACATTCATTCAAGCAAGTAATGAGTTTAAATTGTCCAAACCGCTTCTATCCCTGCGTCTTTACCTGCATTACATGCATGAACATACCAACAATCGCAAGAACATGTTGACTGAGGGCAGGCTGTTACGCAACAACATGCTTACAACGCGATGTTGCTAACATGTTGCTGTATGTTGCCGACATCTTGCATGCATGTGCCTATCATATTTTGCTCATGCGCATCAGTGACACAGACAAAGGAAAGAAACGTCTATAAAATTGAGCTGCCATGTATCACTACCGTGATTTTGATCGACATAACTATGTGTTCACAAATAAGAAGACTGTGGCTATTAGAAGCTTTCATTGCATGCAAAGCACATTGATGTTGACACCTTTAAAAAGATGCCTTCTCCACCATACCAAATAAAGGCATACACAGTCATATTAGAAATGCAGTGAATCTACCGTCTAAGTTCAGCAAATGAAATTAGCATGTTCTTTTTTCCGTAGCAATTAACATGTTTTGCCATGTTTCACCTCGAGATTTTGAAACATTCCTGGCTTATATTAGGTTGCTCCGAAAGCTCTGTCGTCCCATGAAAATTTGTAACTTTTTGCTATCTTGGCGGATTTGCTTTTCTCTAAATTCATTAAAAAGAAGAAGTCTTCTTTTTTTGTAATAGGATCTCGATGAGCTTCAATTATGTTTTTTTATTGTAGAGATAAAAATGGAAGAAGAAAGACCACTCAAGCTTTGACCATTTTAGGTTAGGTCGCCAAAACTCTGAAACGCTGGAAAAAGCTGAATTGCCACACATAAGTTTTATGACCTACTCTTTGCATAGAAGAAAAAATTATGCTGTTTAAACGTTTCAATGAAAGTTATGATTTTCGAGTTTACAATAGAAAACGCCAAAAATGATTAATTTATCACTTTTCCGAAAGTCATAACATTTCATTGAAAAGTCCAAACAGCAGAGTAGTGCAGCGATAGCCAAAAAATGTTATCGTAGTCATCTTGTGGTAAGAATTGGATTTTTGCATTAAATAACAAAAGAGTAATTTATTGAAGAGTTTCTGTTTGAGTGTTCTAGCAAAAAAACATGATATTAAACCCCTGAAATAAAACCTAAAGAATAAGTTTTACATTACCACAGCTCGCACAACAACTGTCTTAGAAAACAACGACACGCTATAATGTGATTTGTCAATTTCCATGAAAGTTTGTGCGAAATAAAGGACCCCAAAAAAGTCTCTTTATACGAGACCAGCTTGCTCTTAGGGTATACATTTCATAAACAAAACGATTTTTTTAGCGCGGTCACTTTCAGAATTTTTCTTCAAAATTCATGAGAAACTAGGAATAAACCTTTGGATTAGTCTTTCGCCTAGACAGCGTCGAACCCTTGCTCTTGACGACACCGCACTTTGCACAGGATGCCATTCGAAAAAATGAGAGTTTCACTGCGTGCTTTCAGAAACATGCTACAATAGTGCTCTGCGAGATTTCGCTTGTACACCTTTCTTTTGAAAAATTGACCTTTATACCATGTAGTCCCTTTAAAAAAGCAAGTACTTCATATTTTATACAAGAAAAAACGAAACTGCAATATAATGCTCTGAATCAAGAGTGTAGATTATATTCCCAGAAGCAGAGCACACATACAACAGAAAAATGATTTTCATGAATAGTCTCAAAGCTAGTTTTTCATGAAGTTTCGTGAAGTCTGTTAGATTGGTCCTCTCCAATAATGCTCTGATCTGGAAGAAGTTCTTATTCGTCTATAATAAACAAGCTTTTAACTAAATTTTCAGCAGCTTTCTTATATGAAGAAGCATTACTGGAAGTAATGCGTATCAATTGACATTGAGAAACGTCAACACCTATGAAAGTCAAGAGTAGGGCGCTGGATTTCAGAGGCACGAATCAAGATTATTCAATATCACAGTAACACATTTACTGTTAGCGACTAGTTTAGCCCAATAACATAATCTTCAGCTCGCGGTATCTATTCTGAGGCAAAATGTCGCCATTGAGAACTCAAAACCTTCTTCAAAATTACTCACCGCGATCCCACAGTAATGAAGGGCAATATATGATTTGCTTCATAATGTAATAAATAAATAATAAAGGGTTACTATTAAGCCTGTTTCGCCTCTACCCTTATACAGGAATACAATAAGTGATGACCACTCCCGAGGCTAAAATATTAAATCTAAGTCAAGCCTGCTCTACTGTACAGTACTTTAAGGTGAGCACAAGACTTTGTGGGAAGAAAGTTATTAAAGATTAAAAAATGTGTACATACTTTTGAGAAATCCCATATGGTTAAAATTGGATAGTCGTCTAAGTGGCTCTTCTGAAAAAACTGGACAGGTGTTGACTACGAAATCTCGGGGAGAGGCTCAAGGGTACGCATTCAAAGCTTCGTTGCTGTCCAGGATGTCCTGAAACTATCTTAAACCATTTATTGCGCTGCACATCAGCTAAATCATGGGCTTGCCTTGTGAAGCCGAATTTCCTCGTAATTGAGTACATTTTCGTCATTTGGATACTCTTGATTTGGCCTGTGAGCTCCAGCAGCCTACTCTTGATCATTTTCATAGGTGGTAAAGTTTTCCAATGTGAACTGATACGCATTACTTCAACTCTGCTTTTTCCGTCCAAAAAATTATCTTTTCCAGCATTTAGGTACATTTTTACTGAATTGCGTTGCACACGCACATTTTTTGATTAACTGTGTTAGTAGGAATGATTCTTTACATAGGAAAGCTGCTGATAATCTAGTGTGACAGTGTCTAGTTTTATATAGAGGATGAGAACCCCTTCCAGATCAGAGCAATATGGGAGAAGATCAGTCTGATAGACTTCTCAAAACTTTATGAAAAACTAGCTTCAAAAGTAAAAACTGAAAGTCATTTTTCTGCCATATGTAGGAGTAAGCTCTGCTTTTGCACAAAGTATAAGTTACGTTCTTATTGTTAGTTCAAAGCATTACATTGCAGTTTTGTTTTGCTTTCTTGTATAATATATCAAGTACTTGCTCTGAAAACTAATTATGCGGTACAAAAGTCAATTGTTCAAAAGAAACTTATATGAGCAAGATTTCCAAAAAACACTACCTTAGCTTGTTTTTGAGAGCAATTTCACAGCAAAACCCTCATTTTTTTTCCAATGAAACCGTATGCAAACCGTATCATCAAAGAGCGAGAGTTTGACGCTGCTCAGACGAAACACTAATTCAAAAATTTTATTTCTTGGATTTTTATGAAATTTCTGACAATAAGGCGTTGTTGATAAGAATGAGTTAGTGAAATGACGGAATTTTTGGATAACCAAAAATTCGGCCTGTGGTTCATCGCAAATTTTAAAGTTTCAGTAAACATTTGTTTTCAACAGAATCCACACATTCCATTTAGGTAATCAGAAAGTTTTGGCGCGTTATCTTTAACTTTGAAGAATAAAAGATGATTTTGAAGAAAAGATGGTCAATCACCGGGAATCACCACGGGATTGCGCGAAATGCTGGAAAATGCAGCTCGTACCCTGGTCGATAAGTTTACGGTGAAAGATGGTAGGAAAACCTGCGTACATGTGAACAGCATGAAATTAAGATATCTGCTTCGAGATATGGAGCTTTTTTATAAGCCGCCATTTTCTACCGTTGGGAATGTTAGTGCTTACGGGCCTTAGTTTAGTTTCAAAATCTTTCTTACATGAAGATATAAATTATTTGCTTCAAATTAAAGGGACACTACGTCTTCTGCAGGTTGCATTAAAATCCATAGACATCACTTGTTTCATCCTTTTCGCTGTTAAAAGCTCTTAAGAGTCTCAAGTTGCCAAGTATTGGGTCGATTACTAAATTACCGTTGCTTTTATGATGATCTATGAACTTGCTTATTTAAAGCGACACTTCATCGTGTATAAAGCGGACACGGGTAATGCAACCAACAATCAAGTAAAATAACAATAAGGAAAAAACAGCGAACTGCTTGAAACTGCGCCTTCAAAGCCTAGAGCAGGTACTTTTGTCTAGAGTAGTCTCGTCATTCAAACTGAACAAATTGAGACGAAACTGACCAGATTAACAGCATGCGGATACAAAAGTATCAATGTATCGAGAAAATCTTGAGATGGTGAATAAAAGAATTACTCTACAGAGCTTCTTCAATAAGCCCTTTCAAGCTGCCGAGAGCATCTGTATCAGTTTCGGAGGACATTTGACTTCTATTCACAGTCAAAAAGAAAATTTATTTGTAGCCAGTAAGTTTGAATTGTTTTACTTGAATGTAAATTGCGTGCTTTGCATTTAGACTTGGCACAAATGGGATTCAATATTCCTGACTGGAACTGGGCAACTTGGATAGGTCTAGTACGATCTGATTATTGGAAAGGAGACTCGAACGTTACGTGGATTTGGACTGACGGCACGGTGTTGGACTTTATATCCTGGGGACCAACTGAACCAAATGGTGGACAAGACGGACAGCGCTGCGTGGGGGTATGACTTTCAAGTAGAGAAAATTGACGGTTGGCTCGAGTTTTGCTTATCGAAATATTCACAACCACAATCAATCCATTATTGCGAGTGAAGCATCAGACGGACGAGTAGTTCTACGTCTAAGCACGCGCTATTAGCTTACTAAGCTCAGTTCATGTTTAGTTAGAAAAAAAACACCACTACCTTGTTTAATTGCAATTTTTTTCGAGGTACTTGAAAAGTCATCAGCGACGCTGCAAATGTTTTTTCTTAATAGGTCACAGCGCGAGCTTTCATTTTTGATAGCTCTAATACAGTAAATGAAGTTTTTGATATATTGGGTCGTTGCGGAAGTTTTGTCAGCTTTAATCCGTTTGAGAACACTGTAAAGTAAAGAGAAAAAACTTCGAAAAAAAAAGAAAATTTTATTCTTTTCAACAACAACATTGTTAGAAATTCGAATCTTTTTACATACGCTGAGAGTGTATCTCAGTCTCGCTACTTTCTATATTTTGTTGGGTAATTTCCGGAAGTCAACAAATATCTGCTCCAAACGCTGCAAAATTCTCGAAATACCTAATTTCAAAACATTTATCACTACCACTATCCTTAGAAAGTATTATGTTGCAAAGAAAGTTCCCGGGCACTTTTGGAAATTTGATATTCAAACGCATTTTCTCCGCGCTTGGTCGGACTTTGGCACTAAGTTTTTAATGCTGCTCAGTAAAGGAAAAACTTATGTTTTCAGTACAGTTCCTGATTTTCATAGACGAATGGTTGATCTGCATATCAAAAAGAAAAATTTTTCTAAACATAAAAATTTCCCAATTTTTCTTTCTACGGCCATTTTTTGTGTAATTCAAAGATTTTCGTCCAAATCATGGGTGATCATTGAAAACCCTGTCAAGGTCTGACTCGCAGCTGCACTCGAGTCTTGCGATTTGCGCTCAGAAACTACAAGCTGTCGAACTTGCTTCTGGATGCACTTCCTTTCGCAGCTGGCGTCGCTTCTGTGGGGATCGCTATGCTTTGGGTCCACAGAATGTGAAAGGCACTACCCCAACATTGTTCGCAGTAATCAAAGTTTTGGCCCGCCCTATGCAGAACGAAAAAACTTCAAAGTCACATCGAAATGTGCATTTTTAGAAGACAAAGGCTTGAATAGTCTATATAACAGCCCGGCAGACTTCTATATAACTGCAGCATTTAAGCTCTCCAGCTTTTATCGTGCCTGAGATAATCCTGCACAAATAGGCCACATTTCGTGACGACCTTTTCCCTTCTGCGCGTGCTGGTGGACCGCAGTGAGGTGCTGAAAAGCCAGCGAGAAAATACGGGGTGTCCCAAAAAAATGTATCGAACGTTTGATCGTTAATATCTCTCTTCTGAAGAAGTCTTTTGCCTTGCTTCAAGTACCGTTTTGTAGAGCTGGCTTCAACTTAGATTCGCATTATAGAACGAATCACCCATCTCTCTTCATTACTGTAGGATTACGGTAGAAACTTGAAACATATGGGTGTCAATGTGGAAAAGGCTGCCGTTTCAAAATTTTTCAAAAAAAATGTGAAAACTTGTGTATTAGAGTTTTTATGGACGCTTAGTTTAATACTCAACTATTCACGAAATTAGAAGCCTTCTAAACGGTGTAACAGCACTTTTTAGGAACATTGAAAAAATGGCCGCTACCTCTTACCTGACATAACTCATGAAGCATCATAGTAAGTTGGGAGCTTTACAGTTATAATCAGCAACTCTAATTAGCCCAGTGTAAAAGTTTTGAGGCTGTTTTGTTTTTTTTCTGGGACAAAATATGGCCTTTCGTTGCTTAGAATCCTCTATGAAGTTTCTACCGTAATCCAACAGTAATGAAGAGAGGTGAGTGATTCGTTCTATAATGCAAATCTAAGTTGAAGCCAGCTCTACAGATTGGTACCTGAAGCAAGGAAAAAGACTTCTTCAGAAAAGAGATATTAACGATCAAACGTTCGATACATTTTCTGGGACACCCTGTATATTGTACACAAACTTGTCTTTGCAAAGAAATATGTAGCTTCAAAAAAGAATTAATCTGCTTGAAGATATAGCGATTAAAAAAATTTTCGCAAGTGCTCAGCAACTTTCTTTACGACTAATAACTGAGCTGGTATTGCTTCACATAGAGATTTGAGGTGCACAGTGCGCACTCGTGAAATTGAGAATTGCGATATACCCTGCAGCTTCCGCGTGTCTCGCAAAGAAAAGAAATTGCTGATAAGAGAAGAAAAAGTTTTAGAATCTGAGTTGTTCATTCTTTCGAGTTTTGTTAGGTTTAGTTAGACTGTGTTAGACGATTGGTGCTCCGCAAAACATCTTTAAACAAAGCACAGGCCAAAGAACTGCGAAAAATACATTGATTTGCGAAAGAGTGCCCCTGACAGCTAGCCACTAAAGATGTATCAAACACTGCTTGAGCTGTTTCTTATCTCTTTTCTTCTTCGGATCGGTTAGTTCAAGACTTTTGCACCGACCTAACAAAAATACCTGCTACGTTTTCATATACTAATGATAGCATTAAGACGGGCAAATTTAAAAGGAGCTTTTACTGCAGCTTCAAGGAATGAGCTGCTCGAGCCCGTGTGCATTCACATCCCGCTAAGAGAGGGAGAAGGGGTTAAGGAAACGCCTCTTCTTTGGTGTTTTGGAATTTCTAACTTTCGTTATCTACGAATCTCTTAAAATCGCTACTCCCCCTATCTCTTAGTTAACATAAGGAATGACAGCGTATTCCCATGGCTGATTTTTCACTATTTTGTATAGATATATTCCTTGAAAATTCCTAGAAGATCGCACAAAACAATAAATTCAGCTAGATGTCATTCATTATGTTAACTTATTAACCTCCGAAAATTGATTAGAAAGAAAGTGGTGCAGATTCGTAGATTATCGAAACATAAGGCGCTTTCTCATAGCTTGTGTCGCCTCTCCAGCAAAAGTGCACATGCATACGGCGCTGACATCAAGAGGGCAGGTTGCGGTAGAGCAAGTAAGCCACCATCTCGAATGTGCATCGCATCATATCCCCTCAATTCACATTTGTCCTTTGCTATAGAAAGCGGATATGAAATTTCCGACAACCTTTATGCAACGAAATGATGAGTAATCACTTATGAGATCTATGTTAACAAGTGAAAGATGCATATGCATGACGCTAAACGATGGGAAGTATATCACTAGGATAGTCTGGAAAAGCGAAATACGAATCTTTTAATCTGCGTAGTTCCTTACGTATAAGTACAAGGAAGGCGATAAAACTTAATGTAGGCGGTGAGGGACAGTAGAGAACGGTTTACAAATTTAATGGAAATTGTACGCATTCGTTTGTCATTTTACTCATTTTTGTGGTAGACGTACAAGCATGGTTTTTTGAATATGAGAAGGTCTACTTTACTAATAGGGCTTCTTCGCTTTAAAAGATTTGCAAATTTTCGCGCTTACGTATTTTTTCTTGGGGCTAAATCATATCATAAACAGCAGTGACAAACAATAACTAATTGCTGGAGAAAGCAAGTGCTTGCAATGAGCACTGCAAATTAAAGTAAACCCACTAGGTAAAATTCTTAGTAAAAATTTTGAATTTTTAGCAAAAATTTCAACTTGTGAAACTTTGAGAAATAGTATATTCGTAAAGTAAGTTTAAGTGTATTATAAATCAAGAGTTAAAAGTGTTTTTGTTTCTATGTATGTTATTAAATCTGTCTGTTTGATGCGACCGAGCCGAATGTGTCCTCATGGAGCCAAGAGGAAGCATAAGTTACTTTCCGCAGCGATTCACTAGGCTTTCATTTTTAGTGATTTGTCGATTGCGTTTGGAAAAATGGAAACTTATTGATCACCAGCGAGTTATTTTCCCTCTACTCGTACAATGCGTCTATCCTTTTACAAAATGTATAGTATACTGGAGGAAGGGTAGTGTAGCAAATACGACGCGGAACGAAAGGTAGGAGGGAGGGGGGGGGGATAAAGAAGGGTAAAAGAAGATGAGCAGAGTTGAAAGAAATCAAGTCAAGTTCTTTCTAAATCGGCAAAAGTTCGCAGCTGAAGTACCGCAGCACAAAATCCAAACCTGATGGAATCGTCTGCCACTATAATAAATCTTACACAACTGCAAATTTACCCCACTGCTAGCTAGATTTGTACCCGATTTTAGAGGAGCGGAGCTAATTACGCTCTCTACTGCCTGCCTACGTTGTGTTGGGAAGAAGTACAAAATCGTTCTCCGCTTTTCCTCTAGGTGTGCCAGTGGGAGGCACGATAGCCTCTTCGGGCCTACCTCGTGCTTGGTTTCGCATATACCTCGCACATACGTGCATTGCTTCCCTTCTGGACAGTTACCTTGTTCCTTCTGACTCAAATTGGGAGAATCAACACGCAAGCGATTTGTAAGTACCAGCCAAAAGGAAAATCCCGTGAGAATTATTTGATATGAAGACTAGATATAAAAAGAAAGCGCTGATTATGTTTATTCACTTGCGGAGCGCAATATGAGCATGTTTAAGAGATATACAACTAGGATGACACCATCGTTCGTTTACGCAGTTCATTATGTCACTTGAATGACTTTTATCCTTCTAGAACCTATCCTTTCGCTTCCAAAAAGAAAGATTATTCAATAGTTTAAGAAAAACAATATTTATCAGCAAATTTATTTGCAGATGATTTTCCTGTTAGACGCTATTCTATTTAAAAATAGGTAATCATGCATTTCTATCTGTACTTTCGCTAAATGTTCGCTCAATTCCTTTTAGAAGGAATGGCTTCTAGAAGTGCTAAAAAGTAAATGAATATCAGTAACGGACCGAAAGGAGCGCCCCCCCCCCCCCGAGAATGGGTCGCAAAATTTTTGAAAGTACATATATGAGTTATAAAAATGCACAAGTGAGTTGTTTACCCTTGCAACTAATTAAAATAATATTTAAAAATTCTTGTTTGTCTATTGAATTGAGAGTTTCTCATAGCCATTTCTTTTGGGATTCTTTTTACAATAAGCTTGTTAAGCGCGTTTGTAAGCTAGGCGGCGTCAGTACGCAAATTAAAGCCTTCACAACTCCATTCAGCGCGTCATCCCGCAGAAACAAAATCAGAATTCTGCGTACTTGAATCGCCAGCTCGAGTTGGGAGACTCCTTGTAATCCAGGCAAACAAGTTTTGACATTAGACCGCGAACACATTGTCTAATATGAATTGTACTGGTTATAATGTTTTCACCAAAATCACAGAACATCACAACAGAAAAACTCCACTGTAATCAATTATTTTTAGAAATAAGGTAAGGTCTGCTGCAGACGAAGGCGCAAGACCAAGACTGCAAAGACAGTTTTACTAATCGCAGAGCGCTTGAGACGTAGGGCTTACAATAGTGCAGATACGCCTCACCGCGTTGTCACCCGCTCAGATAATTGCTTTCGCTTTGCGCCTTCATAAGGCACTACATTCTATGTGTTCACATTAATAAGAATTCGGAACTGTGTATTATAGTTTCATCTTTTACCACCTTACTTAAAGTACGAAGGACTGAGTGGTCGTTTATTTATGCTTTATTTTTTCTCATTAAAGAGTCGTCAATGTGTGACTGACTTTTTTCTCTGAAAAAGTTGTGGAAAAATCAAGACTGTGCATTTCCGAAACTGATTGAGATCACCAATTTTCGAAAATTGTGCCAAAGATCTTTCTGAGTGAATACTTTGCTGATCTATAAGAGTTTAAATTTTTGTGAAAAAGCTTGTAATTATAGCTCAAAGCACATTTAAAGGAGTTGAGGCAACGTTCTAAAATAGCTGGTCTTTTGCTTCCCACTCACTGTCATCTAAGGTGAGTATTCTCCTGGTAACTTTGATCACGCTTACATTTGCTTCCTCTTGAAGAGTAATCTAATTGTAAATACTTTTTGACCTTCAAAGAAGTAGGTTGCTCGTGACTTACAGGCTCTTACAAAGGCGGTGAAACGTAAACCGTCAGTGGAGAAGTTTGATTAATTTTGGAGTTACACTTACCACAAATTCCTACAACTATCAAGGCTGCAAAAATAAGAGCAACTTTTATCATATTGTATGAAAATGCATAATTCAGTAATTAGCATGAAACAGTAGCTCGGCAATTCCTTAGTTTAGAACCTGATTCCATTAGTCCATCTCCAGCATACAGGCTATGAAACAAACTCACCTTCGTCAATGTTGACTCCCTAAAAAGTCTATCCGGGAATCACGGTGAACACAGCGGGAAGAGTGGCAGAAAATTATTTTCCGAGCCGATATTTTCAGAAATTTGACCTCAGGCCTGCAAACAAATACCTTCTGCTGTGTGATCAATATCGCAAATTGAAATTGCCTCTTCCATGATTTCTCTCATTTTCGATCAGCTAAAATATTATTTCAGCTTGTCTCCGACCCTACCGCAAGTAACAATGATATCCTATGGTATCAGAAGTGGTTCGACATTGCGTGCACCACCTATATGCGATCGTTTGTATGCAAGAAAATGGCTTTACACGATGAGTGAAAACGCATCTGATTGTTGTAATCACACTCATTAAATCGTTTCCATGTTTCGCTTTCTTTAAACCTGGGCATCGTATGTATTCTTCAAGTGTTCTGAGCCACACAGGTTTTTTTAATGAGTGACTAATGATTAAAAAAACGCCACGACCATCATTTCCGGTGCGGAATACCATATATAGCGGTGGTCTTTCGGCCTCTGAGGAAGACGAAGGCGTCGAAACGTTGGCCGTGATTGGATAATAAAGACCATCTAAAAAACCTGTGTGGCTCAGAACACTTGAAGAACTCATTGAATCGTTTCGCAAGCTATCAATAAATTGTCTAGATCAAAGTCCTTCCTGCCCAGACAGGTAGCGAGACAGAATCATCAACAAAAGCGAAAAAAGGAGCCAATTTCTGAACAACATTTGACCTGCGTTATCGTAAAAGAGTTCGGTTAACCCTATCAGTTTTGCTATACATCTGTTGTAATGGCGCGATGAGGTTCATGTAATTTGCAAAGTAGGATGAATGTGCAGGTATGGCGGAAGCGTATGTTGATGTTCAGATATCAATAACACTATTGTATAGCTTGAGTCACTTTATATGTGGAGTGATTTTGACTTATTATTAATCGCATAGCACGCAACGAACCAACAATTGTTCCTGTTACCGCTTCGATGATAGAAACTTCGTGTTTTGTATCAGTGAGAAATGAATTTCTTAGTTACGATGGTGAAAGAGCTGCATTTTGAATAATCAATTCGGGACGCTAAACTGTAATGCGTTTCACGGTAATCTTGACGGATTAGTAGAAACCCTTTCGGTTGTTGCCATGATATTTTCCCGACATCTGGTGCAGCATTACACGCCCGCACGAAGCTCAGTGGTATCAGCTTGTCAATAAACCCCATGGTGAAAATACTCAAATTTTTGTAAGTTTTGTGTTGCAGCTACTTCACTACAGCGTAGATATGCTGGAAGTTTGTAGTATGAAAGGTCATTAAGAAAGATGTATCGGTAATTTTTCGTATTATGATCGTAACTTTTCTCTACATCAACATCCGAAAATCCGTAACACTATAAAGAAAAAAGTTTAGATCAAATAGCGGTGAAACTTCTTTTGGGACTCCCTGGAATGTCGTTAGGGTTCTGAAACATTATCAAAAAGTTGCAAAGAAAAAGGTTTGAAAATCTGACTATTTTGCATCATACACATCTAATTGGCCCAAAATCCGAAAGAAGGAAGAAAGAGTTACAGATGATAAAAGCCACTTTCTTGAAAAAGAATTTATCATGAAAAGTAAGTTCAAAAACCTTTAAAGAAGGTAGTATCTTTGCAACACCTATATCTTGTTTGTTTAGCGTCTAAATTCATCAATATTCCTCCTCAAAATCTTTGCAAAGATATGCTTTTAAGAAAAGAGCAGATTCATAACACCTAAGGCGCTGAACAATGCAAGAATTTTTCGCTCCTCTCGCTATGATCTAAATTGATCCACTTTTGTTATCGAGAATCAAACTGTTTACTTGAGCTTGAGGGGTGCTATAGTGTCTCTGTTCAATACCTTAGGAATGACAATGTTGAGATCCGGCATTCATGACAAGAGCAAGCATACTTTTTATAGACAGGTTCTCAGTTTTGAGACTCTCGCGACTTGTACTAAGCGCATATAAATTCAAAGGAGGATGTGAATGATTGAAAATTCACCCAAATGCTGCAGATGAACACAAAGCAGAGAAAATTAACATAGAAATTTTATAGGAAGGCATAAACAAGGGCAAAAGCAATTCAAAGTTGAGGGCAACCAAGCTATAGAAGGACTCATCTATCAAACCTGCTTTTGGCAAACAGTCATTTGGCAAATAACCATAAAATTTGCTAAATGGAAAGGTTTTGAATACATGAGAAGTTTGATATCTGCTTTTGATGAGCAATTTTGTAAAGAGTTGCCTTACTACACAATACTATAAGTCGAACAGATAAAAGAACTATGCGAAAAATTTCAGTAAACTTTCTCATTGTACTCATTGCAAACACTGCTACTAATGAATGGCAAGGACCAGGCTCAAGCAAGAGGTGTGTCCATGAGTTTTCTATAGAATCTAGGGATAACTTCTACCTTTCTTGTCAGCCTTTCAGATCTACTGTAGGTGGACTGTAGATGGCAGTATGCGTAATTACAGTTGAAAAAGCGGGCTGGTCCGTAAAAAGGGCTTGGTCTCAGAAGGCAGACATTTAAAAATCTGCACGGTCGTCAATGTGTTAAATAGCATTACTTGAAGACCCTGTCAAACATAACTGGCAACATATCCATAATCAGCATGTCAATTAACCCCCGTGGACAAAGTTCGAGCGAATTCCAAAGATTCAAGATACCAAGATGGGTCACCCTAAGTGAAATGGCCATTTTCCACCATGGCTAACTTTGTTCAAAGATGAAATAGCTACTTTGCACTCAAAAAAGCACTACTCCCTCTTTGTTTACCTCAGAAATCTAGCTTCAAATAACCTCCAAGCTGGGAATTGTAAGCCAATCAAAATTTCGTTTTTCCCGTTTTTCGCTTTTGATGGTTGTGCTTTCTTCAAGTATTACTCAGAGCTGAGAAGACGAATCAGGCTCAAATCACTTTTGTGAAGTGTACGAGATTTAGGCTATCAATTCACATAAATATTGTTCGTTAGAAATATTTTTGATATAGTCAATGGGGTGTGGCACAACCCCAGAAAAGTTGTTTCTGGCACAGCTTTTTAGAGGTCATGCCACACCCTATACCTTTACAGCATGCAGAAAGCTGTATTTATATCGTTGGGTGGGTTACGGTAAAGCCAAGTTCCTCTACTGAATCTGAAGGAAGGCGAAAGGAATGTATACAGGGCTTTACAACCTGAGTGTCCCACCCGCCCCGCTAGGACGCCACGCTTAGGTCCGCGCAGCGTTTGTGGCGCTGGCTGCGCGTCGACTGAAGCTTGGCGAAATCCGGGCGATACGCCGCGCGCGGCCTGAGCGAGGCGGCCGCGTTGGAGGAGCCGCGCAAGCGAAATTTGCGACTCTCAGGTTGAAAAGCCCTGTATATTGGATAGCCCAAGCCTCGTAGTTTACGCACTAAAGTAATTTGAGCCTGATTGGTCTTCTCTAGTCCGAAATAGAAGCGAAAAATGGAACAAAGATGATTTTGGCTTGCTCTTAATCCAAAGTTTGAAGGTTGTTTGAAGTAGACTTCCTAATGTGAGCAAAAAAATAGTAGTTTTTTGTATAAAGTGCAAAAAAAAGTAGTTAACTTAATTTGGAACGAAAGTAACAAGTTTGAAAATGATCATCTCACTTGGATGGCCCAATATTCGTAAACAATGTGCTGAAAAACTTGCACAGAGTTTAATTGACATGCTAATTACGAAAGGGATGCTCCTATGCTTTTATAGGTCTTTTATTATGCTTACCGTACGTGATAGTAGGCCAAAATATCAATGTTCTAATTTTGCATGATGGGTGTGGCATGGCACAACCCAAGCTTGACCCTGGTTATCAAAACTCAACCTAATCTGAAAGCGGTGAATCGGTTCGTGGAAGACATTGCAGGCGATCACTCGGTGTTAGCTTTTTGATTGTTTACATCTGAAAACTCCACTCAAGCCCCTGCGAGCCTGCTTTTGAGACGAAGTGTGCCCTGTATTAGGCTGACGTATGTTGACGTAGCCTTAGGCGTAGTTGTCGCCTTGGTAGGAGTATCTGCAGGTGTGGACAATACACTATAAGCTCTTGCAAGACGAAGGCGGTCGGTTCAATGTGCAACGCGGCTGCGACATGGCTGCGTCACAGCAGCGTCACAGCCGCGTCACAGCCACGTCGCGCTTCGAACCAACCGCCTTCGTCTTGCAGGAGCTTATAGCCTGGCAGATTTATTGAGTCGGAGGGCGTGCAGGAGTTCCTAGCACCTTTCCTCGCACCAAGTTCGCACCATCAATCGCACCCAGGAGGGTTCTAGCACCTCCGCATCTCAAAGGTCAGGGACCGCCTATTGCTCCACCCATTAACTGCCCTCATTGTGAGGTAAGCAAGTAGAGAAAACAGAGAATTAGAAATTGAAGTATTGAGAACGAAAAAATTGGACAAACTTCAGTAATAAGTACGCTTTTTTCAAGTTAGTATCAGAACTTTAGTATGAAGGCAGCGCCCAGTTTTTTTTCAAATTGGCGGTTACCACTTCAGATATAAAAAACTATCTCGAAATAAATGTTGCCACTCTCTGGATAGTTCGATTTGAAAATCTGATTGTTTAGAATGAAAAGTCGGCTGCTCAAAAATATTGGGTCGCTGCGAAAGTTCGCGCAGTTTTTCAGAACCATGCTCAAAACATTTAGAAGATAGACAAACGCTGTAAGCACTATCCGATGCAGAATTTACTTTTTGCATTATTTCATCCCCCTTTTTAGAATTTTGCTGAATTATTTCACGAGAGCATTGAATTTTGAAAAATTGCAAGACGCATAATTGCACCAAACACTGCGAAATCCCCGAAATATTGAAGTTGTTATTGGAACTCGATTATCACTATCACTAGTATTACGAAGTAAATGAGCGATTATGGCATGAAAATGGATTGACTTTGGAATTCAAACTACACCCTTGCGCACCCGTAAAATTGGAAATTACAGCGATTTTGTCTGCAAAAGTCATATGTCTCGCAAAGAAAAGGTAGCTGTCAGTAAAGGAGGAAAAGATGCATCGAATGGTACCTAAATTGTTCAGCGTCTGGTTCTGCGAGGTTGATGAGCCAAATATAAAATTTGATCACTTTAGAAAATAAATTTTAGTAATTCTAGAAAGCATGCCAGAGAGATGCAGCGTGAACTTTCGGAGCGACCTAATATAAATGAAAATTAGTCACTTGTGCATTCTCTTGGAGGAAATTGGTCATACTACTAGAAGATTTTGAAATTTACATATTGGGTGGCCAATTTAGATGCTGGCTTAGGGCATTCAGCGTTCGACTTCTCAAAGACTGTACTTGTCGAAGGCT